TTCAGAAAGAGACAGAGAGAGAGAAGAGGGGAGGAGTTGATCTTGCGAGAACTTCCGGGCGGGTGAGAATAGCCACTTTCCCCTTGGAAATGACCTGAGAAGGATGGCTGAGGTTAGCGGGTGTGACCCTGGTGGGTTAGGACTGATGCTCCTCAGCATCGTGTTCGTCACTGTTTGTATCGTAATAGTTGAATAGTCACAGTCAGGGTTGTCAGTTTGGAGCCAAATATCCCAAAAATTTGGCTCTTTTGAATTATAAAATGTCTGGCCCGGAGAATTTCATTTGGCTCTCCGGTTTTTTTTTGGCTCCAGACTCCAAATGTTCAAGAAGAAAGGGAAAGAAGAGGCAAAAAAAGAATAAAAAGAAAGAATAAAAGAAAAACAAAGAAAAGTGAAGAAAAGAGCTTGAATGTCTTAATTAATTGTAAACTAGTTAGATCGAACACGATTTACGCCCTAGCTCTTTTGGTCTAAATGATTTACAACCCTTCTACTGTTGTGCAAGAGCATAAGTCTCGTGTCTTTTTACGTTTGTACTCTCTGTTCGTGGAACTATAATTTGTGTGCAGGCAGAGAGTCTCGCCATCATTAAGTGTGTAAACAATGAATGGTCCGGCCTCTGGCATGTCCCACGTCCCGTGCAGTAACGTCTGTAGTCAGCCGTTTTTTTTAACTGAAGAGGCGAAAAATGTTTTATCGGCCTGGGAGAGGTCGGGGGGGGGGGGGGGGGGGGCCTCGACTCATGCCCACACCGGGGTGGGAGCTATTCTCACCGGGGGAGGGGGGGGTGAGAATAGCGAGACATGTGATGATGGGTATTCTCACCCGCGGTGAGAATAAACGTAGTCTACTTCAGTGGAAACTCTGCACTTTTGGGGCTAGTTTTTATAACAATTTTCAGGAGATAAGGATAATTGGGGTGTGACGAGATGACCGTGGGATGAAATGACCTGTTACTAGTTACCGGCCAAGACAGTGCACTCTCAAAAACATGCATGCATGTTTTTATCTGATACTGATGGGATACCTAATCCATGAAGCTACAGCGAGCACCTAGCACACCTCTCTGTGATTGGCCCAAATATAGATAGATGAAATATTTCTGCCATCTATTTTTGTTGTCTTCGAGGGTTTCCTCCAAGACTGTTTTGTTTCCCTCGCAAGTAAATGTTGACTAGATTCAGCCGTGTTTTGTTTAAAAAAAATTAATTTGTGTTAGATCTATGTTTTATTAACAATCTCAGCAATACTTGTTCAAAGTTGCACACACACACAAATACCCACACGCATGTGCGCGCACGCATACACACACACCCATGCCCAAGCAGTTGGCGATGAAACCTAGTGACGTAGCCCATCACGCACCAAGCGGCAAAGCGGGCCGGCCACTGTGAGATCTCGTCAACTGGCAAGGGAAGCCCCAGAAGACGACAAATATATTGCCGAAATACTTCGCCTGATATTTGGGCCTACCACAGAGGTGTGCTAGGTGCTTTCTGTAGCTTCATACTTTATAATTATAGGCCTGATACTAATAATGGTCATCTTGCCTCTTCCACTGTCAACGAAAGAGTGATCATCACACTACTGTCAATCCAAAGTGCTCTCATCATGGGATGAATTTTTGTCCCGGTAGCCTTGTCCAGCACTTAAACTTAGCTGGTGTCACTGTCAGTGTCGGTTGTGGTGGAAATGTCTCCTCAGTCGCATTGTTATAAATTATTTCCTCATATAAATACCCTGCTGTGTTTACAATAATTAATGCAAATGGTAGATTATATTTGGAGGTAAAAGCTGATTTTGTGCACGTCTCTTGGGTTTTATTTTTCAAATTTCTGTGCCTCGGGTACATCCTTCCTCTTTTCTCTTTTCTTCTATGACAGACCATGTTCAGCTAACTCTTTGGGTTTTTTAAAGTCTGTTTCTGGTGACGTCACACTTTTGTTGCGCAGGTATTGGTGGGTGCTCTGGTGTGGTTTGCTTCTTCTTTCCTATTAAACATCTACCGTCCTTATCTCCCCTTCTTCTTTTTTATGTTTGTTACTCTCTTGTAACACCTCTAATCTTCTAACGCTCATATGACCTTATGCAGTTGCAAACACTGTAAAACCTCTACTAAAACTAAAACTAGCTGGTTATTGTAATTTTAATACATGGGACTTGAACATTTGAAATTGTGCTGTCTCCAAGATAGTTTCCTTTTCATTTTGGGTCTTTAAGGTTTGTTTTGTTTGTCACTTATTATTTCTAAAGCTAACAGCATTGGAGGTTTAAGGAATGAATGCAAGACAGTGAGATGGGTTAATGTGTTTCAGTGTTAGTTCAATTTCAGCAGTGTCAAAGAAATGCACACATGCTTTTCTGTATCCAAATTAAAGGTTCAGGCAACCTTAGAACATACAGTACAGTATTATACAGGATGAAGAATGAAAGTGAAGACTTGATGATAGAGGATTTTAGTGCAGTCTGGCCAAGGTCAGGGACTCACAAGCTAAGACTGAGAATCAAGTTTGCCATCTGTGTCAGGTTTCTGTTGTAGATAGTGTCTGTTGACTGATAATGCAAACTCAAAACTTTAGACAGTGTCAGTTGACTGATAATGCAAACTCAAAACTTTAGACAGTGTCAGTTGACTGATAATGCAAACTGTCAAAACTTTAGACGGTGTCTGTTGACTGATAATGCAAACTGTCAAAACTTTATTTCCAGGCCAAGAGATTTTATGGAAAGCTGAAAAAATTAATAATTTTGCCTTACTTAGTGACTTAAGTTTCAGTATGTCTGTATTGCCTTTTTTTTAAAAGTTGGTGTACCAGTGTACCTCCTCTTCTAGTTCTTGACCTTCTTGATTAATCATTTGATCAACTCTACAATTGTCTGGAACTACACTTATGATTATGTGACCTACCTATTTTGTTGCATGTGCTGTAAAACTCTTACTGAAATTTAAAAATATTTAATAGCTGGATGATTTTTCAGTGAAAATACAGGTGGTCACAGGGCCTAGGTCCTGCTTCTTCTGTCCCAATGTATGTATTTCTGTGTGGCTTTGTTTATAATTGTTAATGTGCTTCTCTTTCAATCAAACAATTTCAATAAACATTTCCCCAAAATTACTTTAGTACAGAACCTTAATATTAAGATTACACTATTGTGTTTTGTTTATACTCGGTAACACATTCCCAGAATATGTTCACGAGGCATCGTGGTGAAATCAGGATCTCATCAAAATAATGAAATCGAAGAAACTATCATTTTTCTGTCCATTTGGCAATTTTTATTGAATTTTTGTTTTTTGGCTCAACCCTAGGCGATCATAAATCAGGCAGCGCAGCCCAAGAACTACACACCTTGCTTGTGGGCTGACACACCGGCCGCTCAGGCTTCGGCCCACAGCAAGCAGTGACCTTCGTAATGATAATAATGATTACAACGGCCACGGCTAGGCGGTCTCTTTCTCCCCCTCTCTCTCTCTCTCTCTCCTCTCTCTCTCTCTCTCTCTCTCTCTCTCTCTCTCTCTCCCTCTCAATCTCTCCCTCCTCTCTCTGTCTCCCTCTCTCTCTCTCTCTCTCTCTCTCTCTCTCTCTCTCTCTCTCCCTCTCAATCTCCCCCCTCTCTCTCTCTCTCTCTCCCCCCTCTCTCTCTTTCTCTCTCTCTCTCTCTCTCTCTCTCTCTCTCTCTCTCTCTCTCTCTCTCTCTCTCTCTCTCTCAATGGTTTAGCTTCCCTGTGTTTGTGTTCAAACTAACGGACATGTAAAAAATTATTCTAGACAGACAAAAGCGATGGAAAGACAGAAAGTTGACTTGAGTTGAGTTAGAGTTTTACGGAAATGGAGGGCACACACTGATATGTTTTGACACCTTTTCATAGGATAAAATGTTTGGTAAGCTAGCAGTCCATGCCCGACATTCTGTTTCATCCGAAAGAAATCCATACAAGGTCACTTTTTCTGCACCTTTCTGACTGTCATAGCCAGTTTTGCATCCACCAACTGAGCATTTTCTTCCCATTGTTGTTCTTATTCCTTCAGTTTATTTTGAAGGTGTCAGTCACAGTCCAACAGAGTCATAACCACACATGATGAAAGCAATAAATAGGCCTAGAAGAGAAGCATGTAAGCACTGTGAAAGAACAGCAGATATTAAACAAAGCAGGTCGGGAAAAACACAAAGGAGCTCCCCCATAATTATGATCCGTATACTTTTCCCTACCTAACAAGGGTGGGCCCCTAGACGCTCAGAGTCTAGATATATAGATTTATATCTACATGGTCCTTTTAGTCTATTGTTTGTGTTACAAACTAATCTAAATCTAAAAGCAGATCTAGGGATAGGATGGAGAGTTCGTTTTTAGTGGTTGTTTGCATAGGGAGGCTCTAAGTCAGTGAAGAGTGCGGATCAGAAGGGGGGCCTCCACTGTGTAGACATGGATTTTAGAATGGATTTAGACAGATATGAATTAAACGTGCACGGTCAAAACTTCACTGCAGGTTTAATCTAAACACGTACACTGATGGAAGAGATATTTGATATTCACACAATCCAGATGATTTGGGAAAAAAAACTGCATTAGGCCTCAACTAAAAGAATCCAGGCATTCACTGAGTGCGATGGCGATGAAGAATCTGAAAATGAACAGTAGGCCTACAGTGCAGCCAAACAGCACTTCAAATTTGCGATCTCAAGACTGCTGGTCAATCTTAATTAATTAATTAATTAGTCACCACTTCTGTTCCTCAACACACACAATGATGTAGAAAATATTCACATAATCCAGATGAATTGAAAAGCAAACTGTATTAGGCAGAAATAATCCAGTGTCAAAGCATGAGAAAACAACAATTCAAACTGACCGCCGCACCCTGCGTAGGCTTATCACTACTAATGATCTACAAGGTTGTGGGCTTACTACACGGGTGTGTCAGCCCAGAAGGAATCTAGGTCAGTAGCGCGCAGGTGGCCTGATTATATGACCGTCTAGGCTCAACCCCATTTATATCCATTTATAAAAACACATTTCCAGGTGAATTTTACTGAAAAACGTTGATTAAAGGCACAAAAATGTAAATTTTCAGTTTCCAGAGACTCAAGCTTTGGAAATCACCAACTTTGTCAGCCATTTTTGTGGGAATTTTACCTCTCTGAAACCCGGTGACCCGGACCTCCTTCAATCGCAAATATCTTGACTTCTATTCAAGATAGACGTGTATTATCTTCATCAAGAGATGGTCAAACGAATAAGCTTTAAGATGATACGAACAACTCCAGATGCCCAAAAATTGACGAGCGCCTGATTCCACCACATCGTGACACATATAAATATACACACACAAATGCGAAATTATTGTTGTCTACTTGGGTCCTCTTCCCAACCCCTACAAGGATGCTGCGATGAACAGTCTCAAGTACTCTTATTGTGACTACAGTAGGTTCTTTTTAAAACAGAGGATATTTTGTCATATTTGTTACCAGACTTTACTGTTGAAATTGTATTTTGGAGGGTTAGTTTCGGAATCTTTTATCATAATTTTCTTTTTCAGATATGTTAAATTATCTGTTTTATGTCTTTAGATGAGATGAGTAGATGGGCTTACATCCAACTCCAGTGAATTGGTAAAGGAAATTTGTATGACATTTAGGTGAAATGAAATGTTATTGTACAATTATTTTTTAAAAAAAATTATTTTTTTTTAATGTAGCTGCTGTGATGGGGTACGATCTGACCCGCTTCGAAGGGGATGTGGATGAGGAACTCATTTGTCCCATATGTAGTGGAGTCCTGGAGGAACCACTGCAGGTAAAAAGAGGAACTTACATTTTTTCTTACATCTATCATCTATTTTATTGAGACAAGAGGGAAAAATAAGAAAGTGATTTTTTTATATTTTTTTTTATTTTTTAGGGGGGGGGGGTTGTCAGTGGATTTTTAAAAAAATGTTCCTTGGTTACTTTTGATATATAATGTTGACAAGAGTGAAGAAAGTGTTCTTGAAGTAAGATTATGTTTGAAATAGAATCTTTCCTGAGGTTTTTATTGGGTGTCATTCTTTTCTTTTTCTCTTTTAGGTTATTATTGAGCTCAAAGTCATACATATTTTTGTATGTTAAAAAAATGGTTGCTGGGAGTCTCAGTCTAAAGTGCATATCATGTGGAATTGATTTTTACACCTGTTTCTTGTACGATGGAAATTATAAAAGATTCTAAATGATTTCACAGGCACCTCAGTGTGAGCATGCCTTTTGCTCAGCCTGCATTCATGAATGGTTGACACGCCAGCCCACCTGCCCAGCTGACCGCAGCCCCATCACACCCAATCAACTGAAAAATGTGCCTCGTATTCTGAGGAATCTTTTGTCTAGACTGACCATCTCCTGTGATAACAAAGTAAGCTTGAACTTGTGTATTGTGGGATTCTGGTCTGGCCTTTCTCTTTGTGTACAAAGAGATACAGTAAACTCTTGAGCTTGTGCGAGACATAGAGGTAGAGAGATTTTTTTTCTCTCCAAATTTCTGGAATTAATAGACGTAGAATTGTTCTCTTTCTTCTTTTTTCTTTTTTTTTTGTTTTTTTTTTTGGGGGGGGGGGGGTACTTTTTATTTACAATTATGACAGCTATCATATTTCATTGAACGTAAAAGGTAAGTTTTTGAAATCCAGGTATATCACCTGAGCTGGCCTTTACCTGCCTGACAATGAAATGTCACCATTATCAAGATGACTTTTTCGCTAATTCTTTGCAACATACACTTACATTTGTGGCACTGCTCTGATGTCACCCATTAATGTCCTTTTCTAAGGTACACTGCGTGTGGTACCCCTTTATAATCTGAACTCAAGACTAATGAGTCTGAGCAACAGCTTGTCTTTTGACAAGGGCTAAAATGATGATGGATGTTGATTTGAAATTGGCCAGGGGATAATTCTCCTTTTGCGCACTTTTCAAAATATTCGGTCATGAAGATAATGGAGCATTGCACTAAGACATATAAAACTAAACAAACGTCTTCCAGTGAAAGCATTTTACTCCCAGCCTCTCTAATGTCCATTCCATGTTACTGAAAAGTGGACACTGCAGTCAGTATATTTAAAAAGTCTCTTTTGTAAAAATCAAATCAGGTAGAAAAATGTATCGATAGATTACCATGCTTAAAGGGGGGGGGGGGGAATTGGAACATCCCTCTAATTTTAAAGAAGAAACAAAAACAGGCACAACGTGTTATCTGATAGACCTCTTTGATATGCTTTTTCAAACTATTTACATTCTCATTAATGCTTTCACAGACTTTTGGATGTCCAGCATTAGTGAAGTTGGACGCTCTCCCTTCCCACCTTCAAGAATGTGAGTTCAATCCAAAAAAACCTGTACCCTGTGAAAATGGCTGTGGGTCCATCATACCAAAAGATGAAATTAAGGTGTGTAAATATTTGTGTAGTATTGACTGTTTTTTAAAGAAATTATTCTGATTTCTATGTATGTGTATATGATTATACGTAGAATGAATGAATGAGCCTCATGGTAGTTACATTGATCACATCAATTTAATAGTTTTGTTCTAGCTTTTGTGTCTGAAGTGTTTTATCTAGAACATGTGAAATCTTTGGTAGAACCAGCATCACATTAATGTTTATTTAATTCACTGGATTTGATTGTATTTGGTGAAAATTATGTTTTCATAATCCCTAGTATTAAGAAACTACAGTCACTTGCATTCTGAGAAAGGCGTAAGATGCCCGTTGTGTTTGTGGTGATTGAAAATTCATGAATTGTCTGCGATACCTTTTATGGTAATGATGACCAAATGTCTGATATTTAGTTCTTTTTCCATTCTACTAAGCTAATTATGTACTGATTACCAGTACCTAATTGTAATTTCCCATTATTTGGCACTTTCCATTTATCTGGAATTTTTACCCAGATTAGCTACAAATGTTCATGCTTGCTGTATAATAATTTCTGAACATTTGTCACTTTTTGTTCTGGTCAGGATCACAACTGTGTTAGGGAGATTCGTTCCATGCTGCAGCAAATGCAGCAAAAGTTTACAGATCTTCAAACAGAGAATATGGAACAAAAGATGCAGTTGACTGAGCAGAAGAGAGAAATTCAGATGCTGAAGGTAAGAAATGATGCAGAAAGGTTACTCTGTGACAGGAGACCAAAAAATAGAAATTGGTAATTTGTAGTTGCTTTTTTAAATCAGGGATCTGACTGTACAACTCTATAGATTATCCACAAGGTTGTTTGTCATGTTGAAAACTTACTTAATAAATTTTCCAGTTGAATTTATGTCAAGCAATCTTTGTGATGTGCAGGAGCTGTTGCGGTCCATGAGAGTGTCCAGCCCGAGAACCAATGAGATACAAAGCACCATCGAGAATGAAGATGTCATCAGGTGAGTACTCGAGCTGCAGCAATAATATTGTTCTGTTCTTCGATAGTTTCCCCTGTTCTCATAATGAGGTGGAAGTTAAAAACTTAAAACAACAAAAGCATGTAAACTGTGTTCAATTTCCTGTAGTTATACTAGCATCTGCGTTTGTTGCCATTTTTTTTGTCCAAAAGTTGCCACAAAAATGGCAAAAGTTCCCATTAATTTTCAAGCTTTCTGCTCTCCGTGACGACATAATATAGCGATATGTTGATAGAGGTAACTTAATCTAAAACACTAGAATTTCTTGTGCTCTGTTTTAAGCATCCAGAATATCATTTGTAGCCATACAGAGTGTAAGGAAGTGAAAAATAGAGGTTTCACAACAGAATGAAATCAAAATTAGAATAGCAAATAAAACCCCACAAAAATGAGTAAATAAGGATGTGTGTCAACCTATCCATAGACTGGCCGTTTTAACTCTAAATGCGTGGATTTCAAGAAATAGTACAGGATATAATATGTAAATTATGGAATCACACACAGGGGGCCTGCCAGTGTCAGTATTCGGTTTTGGTGGAGACACGCTCCAACATAACACTTTTTTTTTTTTAAAGGTAGAAAGAACATAACGCTATGTATACACAAATATAGAAAAACAACACATCAGAACAATAACGAGAAGAAAAATATTAACACGCCATCAAATTAAAAACACAACAAAGAGGGAAACATGAAGGAGAAACAGCAATATAAATAGTATGTAGCCTACTTATATTCTTCACATGAAAATTACAAATCAACGTGGTGTTAACAAGTGAGAATGAGACGAAGTGAAGCGAAAGTGAAAATAAACTTTCTTTCTAAAAGTAAAGAGGTTATGTTTCTCTTTTTTTTTCACGAATGTTATTCCCCATTTTTGTTGTTGTTGTTTTTAAATTATTTTTTCTTCGCGTCTGTGGGTTTTTTTGGGTTGAAAAAGTGCAAAAATCGCAGTCGCAGCAAACGCAGATGCTAGGTTATAGCTGACACAAAGCAAAAGCAGATCTACTTTTGAAGCATGATATGGTGGGAAACAATTACAGTGCACAGGAATCTGCTTAAACTGAAATCTGTGGGAGCTCTGTATTTTCTTAGGTCTCGCTGTGTATTCAGTTTATAGAGATGGCTCATTTAGAAATGGAAAAAAAAAATCAGTGATTCTGTTTTCTTTTGGTTTACCACTGTTTTCAAATGAATGATGTTCTAGTTTTAGAGAACTCCTCTGTATTATGTGAGAAACGCAGATTAGAGAATGTGTACTTTTAGTGCTTTTCGGTGTTAACTCAGTAGATGTTGTCACTGGAGGATATTTTGGTCATTTTAAAAACTGGCAGTAAACCTTAATTGATTGGTTTTTTTGCTGATATTAATTTTTATTTATGCTTTTAATGGTAGATGAGTGCAGAATTGCTGTCTGTCAAACACGATAAATATTGTAATGAAATAGATTTTAATGTGAACTAATCTTTGTTGGGGTTCTTTTCCTTCATACTTTTTTTAACAGTAACAGTTTTCAGGGTTAAGCTGAATGAATCACGGTTAGAAAAGTTTAGGCTATGTCTTAATTTGATAACCTTTTCTCTTTGCGGGTAGATAGACGGAGGCACTAGAATTTCCTGGCATTTTACTATTCCTGTGATGTTTGTGTCCATCATCTAGGTTTTCCCCAGCGTTGAATGACAAATGTTTTGCCATAGCATTTCCCCCTGGTTAGAAATTGTGGGTTGTTGAATTTCACCACTTGGGGGTCCTATTTCTTGCGCTTACACCCCCCCCCCCCCCCTGTTATTTCTGTCTGTCTTGGTTTTTATCCCAGCATGAAACGCACCTTATTGTTTTGATGGTCTTCTTTTTTATTCTAATAAAGAAAACTAGTTTGAAATGCTGTTTTCTTTGCCTTTGCCAGGTGGGTGGGCAGTCTGCAACCTGCACGGGTGACGAGGTGGGGCGGTATGATCTCCACACCAGACGCTGTCCTGCAGGCGGTGATCAAGCGGGCGCTCATTGAGAGTGGGAGCCCGTCCCATGTGGTCAACGAGCTGATGGAGAACGCCCACGAGCGACGCTGGCCTAGTGGCCTCAGCACTCTGGAAACCCGCCAGCTCAACCGCAGGCAGTACCAGAACTATGTGACCAAGAGGATCCCAGGTATGTGCTGATGAGAAAAACAGTTGGCGGCCCGAAGACTAACCTGGAATTTATTTTTTAGCTCCTAATTTTGAAAGGCTTAAAAAGATAGAAAATCAGGATGGTATGGAAAGGAATGAAGATGTTCTGGCTCGTGGCGTAGGTGGAGATGTACTCTTCACTTGTTTTGGAGAGACGAAAAATAAGAAATAAGCGTTGTATAATGGACTTTCTTCATAGAGGTTACATTCAGGGAGGACTAACATGCCCAAAGGAGTTATCTAAATTAAAATCAGGTTTTCTGTATGTAACTCATAAACATTTCCTGTCAGTGAGGAGCAAAGTAATTTATTCTATTAAAATAAATTAAAACCTATACTGTAGATTTATCCTATCAGAACAGGTTCTCCAAATGTTGAGTTCCTTTATGGCTTCTAGTACTTAGATGTTGTGCAATATGAAAATGCTATGGTATAGGACTTTCTGAAGTATGTTAATGTTGAACTGAATGGTATAAAGATTATGGTAAAACATATAGAAAACTTAAACATCAGAGGAAAAAAATTGGGGGTTGCTGAGAAAAGTGAAGGATGAACATGAAAATATGGACTTTCATATTTCTTGTTCCAATTAAGAAAGGTATATATTCTTGTTTATTTCTCAATGGAATTGAGCTGCTTAAGGGGAGAGGCAGGTCAAATTTTAATCTTGCTCATTTCTAGCCATTTGGTATGAAACTTCCCAGTATCACTAAGAACGACCTGAAAAAGAAATGCAGGGAATTTGGGGGTCGAGGACATCACCGTTGATATGGAAACGGCAGCCATCTTGAATTACAAGTAAACAATGTGTAAATATTTCTTATGAAATATTGTTCAACCAATTATGCTAAAAACTGTTTTAAACACTAATTTAGGCATAGATCTAGGTAACTAGCCCATTGAAATGATTAAATTTGGAGTATGACTTTTTTTTCTTCAGATTTTCAAAGTACATGTGTACAGGTGTTAATATATTTTTACACCCTCATGACACCTTGAGGTCAAAATTCTACATTAGCTTATGGCTTATATAATTTGAGAAAAGTGAATAGCCGATTCCCTACAATAACATCTTATCTTAACCCACTGAAAATTTGAAGGCTCTAGCTTGAATACTTTTTTAGAACAACTACTTTTAGTCTGGTCACCCTGTCAAAATCATGATTTTTTAAGGAAAATTTAAAGTCAAACAAAGCTTTCACAAGTATTCTACTCCAAGAGTGGAAAACGAAAGTGTATTCTACTCCAAGAGTGGAAAACGAAAGTAGCGAACTTTACTGAATACGCAGGGTGACACAGAAGAGCTCTTTCCGATTTTCACTGTGCAAGCACCGTGACACCAGAGCCAGGCCGAACAACAACTTCATTACTGGAAGAGTATTCTTATGCTGCAGGTTGCCAGGGTCAGACAGGGGTCAGACGAGCATGCCGCAGGAGTCAATAGTGAAAGAGAGCTATGAAAAACACGCCTCTTCTTTTATAGCTAATTAATGTGATCTATGAATAAGTGTTACGACCGCATGAATAATCCCCTTGTCGTTTGATCAGACGCTGAGATTAAAAGTTGCTCCAAATCGAATAACTTTTCCAGTTTTCCAGATTTCACACCTGTTCTGAACTTGCGAACAGCCGCTAATCAGCTATCGTTCGAAAGGGGAAGAAATGGGATAGTTTCCTAATATTTTTTTCATTCTGTTGCTCTCAAATATCTCCCTGTGGTAGGGCAATGGTTTTAAAAACCAAAAATAGGATTATTTTGCACCTGGAAACAACGTTTTGTGCAAAAATGAGCTCGTTTGAAAAGTGTGAAAAGGTGTTTGCTTTGAAGGGTGAAAGTCTTATTTCCTGAATATCCTTTCGAGTTCCTCAAGTTTCTTACTAGGTCGAAAATCCTCATATTTCATTGGATGAACATCTCTACCGGGGCTCCGTTATCTCTACCAACGCTTCGCGACTCCGAAAGTTCTAGAAGGGCAGACCAGCTGGGAAACGCCAGCGGGAATGCGCTTATCGGCGAACTTTTATCCAGGACCAGAATCTTAAGGGTTAATGCGAATGAGCACAGAAAAAAACGAGGCCAACGGCATAGTCACCCGACCCAATCAAAACAAAGAAAGTGCATTTGCATAGTGAGATTCCCCTTCCGAATAGTCACTTGTTTCTGTTAGTATCAAAGAAACCCTTCAGTGCAATGTATAATTTGTCTATGTTCAAATAAAGGGAAATTGAATTTACCAGTAGCCTATGTTTTAGGGGGGGGTACACGCAATTATTGTGGCACACAGGACACTCTTCGTGCAATTTTTGATACACCCTGAGGGAAAATGTGGCTTCCAGAACATTATAAAAACACTTTTCCATGGATACAAATATATGAAATATCGATAGTAGGGTAATCAAAGAAGTAAAAAGTCACAACTTTGAATTTTCGATAGTTTTACCCAAATCTGTCCCAAACCCACCCCCAAATTCACCAGCGTCTTCCCTTATGTGGAATGTGCATTATATTGGCCATGGTTGCTTTGGGTTGTATGATCTTTTCTTTAGGTTGGGTATAGATGCCAGTGTTCACCATAACCCCCTTTAACTGTATTACCTCCACAGGGGAACTTATGGGTCACAGTTCATATATGTGTATATCTAATATTTTTGTTTTCTCTTCTCAGGCAAGCAAGCAGTGGTGGTAATGTCCTGTGAGAACCAGCACATGCCAGAGGAGTTGATCATAGAGCCGGGACTCGTCATGATCTTTGCCCACGGAGTGGAGTGACCCTTCCCCATCCCGTTCGGGTAGGTACACTCAAAGAAATTTGCATGCTCATTATGTCTGTCAACTCGATCATGGTAGGTAGGTGACGGTAAAGATATGCTCACTAGCTCCTGCACCTATGTACATGGCATTCATCATAACAGTAATAGAATATGTTTTTGCATATGAAGTCCAGATGCTTTCAAATATGAATTTCCTGCTGGGGCTGGAAATGCTGAAAAGCCCATCTTTTTCTGTTCAAGAAGAGTGGAGGAAGGGACGTATTTTTTAATTCTTACTTTGCAATTTACATGTTAGCCTGCACCAGTCCTTAAACTTTCCCCTTTTGGAAACAGTTGATTGATGCGAGTGTAGTTTCAGACCCTCACAGTGTAGGCCATTTCAAATGGACCTGACCTCAAATTTACAGATCAGGGTGCTCTGCTGTCCCAAAGAAGAGGGTTGTATTTTCACAGAATCTGTTTTTCTAGTTTTATTCGGTTTGTTACCTTAGTCTTGCCCACATCCTTCTTGGTCAAAGGTAAGACAACATATCTTCTTTAGAAAAATAGCTTTCAAAGTGGTAAAGCTACGTCGGTGAATGGTCTTAATAATAAGCATCTGGAGTTTTGCACCTTTTTCTCAAAGTCATGAAATATGCTCTTATAACGCTGTCCCTTTGATTGGCAATATGTCTGTACTAAAAAGTTTTAAGGGTACCCGTAGGTAAAACATGGGATATTGTCAATGTTCCAACAAAACCAGCTGAATTAGACCTAGTGAGAGAATTCAAAATCCAGTAGTTTTAGGCATTTGCACACATTATGAAAGAAACTACCTAGAACTCAGCAGTAATTTCTAATAGTTTGACCTTGATTTTAAATTTCTGTAAATAAATATAATCATTCCAATTAAGCTGTCCATAATACAGCAACTTTGATTTAGTTCTGTATTTATTATTACAAACATCATAATGGCAAAGAAAACAAAGTCATGCTTTCCGAATAAACTCAAGAGTTCATTGACAAATTTAACTGCACATAATCAGAACATTGGGAACATTTTTATTAGAATTTCATTATTGTCCACCTTTCTGTCTTCACAGGCAAATTATGTGTCACTTTTCTGTTCTGGAGTATGAGTGAGCTGCCAGCAGAGCAAGTTTCCCCTACCTCCTTCTGTGTGTCTGTGTGTGTGCAACCTGGTTGTGATAACTTCAGTGCTGAAAGAGCTTGTGTGCGGGACCCAGGATTTGCTGCTATCAAAGAAAGGTTTCCTCTGATGAGACTCATGCTGGGGTCTGTGGAGGTTGCTATGGTCTATGTTGCCATTTGCTCTAGAAACGTACGCTTTGTGGTGTTTCTGTTTTCTCTTTCAAGTCAAGTGGATAAGTATTTTAAATTATTAAGTGCTGCGTGACTGATATATATTCATGTTTGGGCACCAGTGAAGATCATTTTTGTTGTCTTCGTGCAAGTTCCAAGCCTAAGCAAATGTGCAAATCATTTTTGAGCTCAGGTGATTGTTACCACAACTTCATCATAAAATGTATTCATTTAAAGATGTGAAAGTGTATGTGGCAAAGGGCGTTTCTCTCATTGAGAGCTGAGGGAGGTGAGGTGTGAGGGTTTTTTGTTTTCTTTTGTCAATTAATTTCTACTCTTTTTTCAGCAAACTTTACAGTGATGCACCATGGTATTTTAAGTTTCTTATTTGCAGATAGCTAGACAATGTAGTATTCTGCTAGAACAGTCTTTTTTTTTTCCAGGATAGAGTGCATGCTCTGTTTGCAAACGTAATTCAAATATTTGTTTTGATTTTGTCTGTGCGAAAATGGGTACCGTCGCAGTATCAATTAAATAAATAGCATTTGTATTGCGCATATCCCCGCTCAACAGCAGACTCTATGTGCTTTACACTATAATATTATTACCCCAGCAGACCATACAACACTCGGGAACATTCTCAGCTTCCCTGGAAGCATACAGTGCAAGCAGCTGATTAAGCGCTCAAACACTAACAAACTGACAAGATCTTTCACTGTCTATAGCCAGGTACCCATTCCCACCTGGGTGAAGTGAGGAAAATTCGTGTAAAGTGCCTTTCCCAAGGACACAACGTCGGGCCCCTGACGGGATTCGAACCCACGACCTTACGGTTGCGAGTCCGAGAGCCTAACCACTAGGCCACCGATTATCTCAGATCTGTTTCCCGTGGGATATAGGTGTAATGTTTATTCATTTTTTGCCCCTTTTTTCAATGGTGTTACAGTTTTGAGCCCAAACCTCTTACAAGTATTTCTGTTTTCTGTTTTATTTTATTTTAGTTGTCTCAGCCTTATAATTCAACAACTTGTCACACTACTATTTTTGCTGCATGATACTCTCATTCTGCTCCTTGAGAGATAATAATGATCGTTTGAAGACATCACACCAAATTCTCGTTTCAATGTCGTGTATCAGTTTCAGACGGGACACTGTAAGCTACTCATAGTTGATAAACTGAATGGGCTTTTCTTATTTTCTTTTCGGAAAGCTACGATCTGCTTTTACTCTTCCAATTCTCAACTTCAGCTTGTTGTAATTAGTGCAATGCTAATGTTTAAAGATGTCATATTAAAGTCTTGGAATGTATTGTAGAACTGAGACATGCAGTCAACTTCAAAGAGAAATGGAATTAAATTATGTATTTAGGAGGATTGTCCTTTTTAGTGGTCATTTGTAAGTTGCCGGCTCTGTGAGAATTGCATCTGGCTTTCATATGATCACTCAATCGAGATCCCACACCTGTTGTAGAAGTTTTGTTTTAGTTTTGGATCGCTCAACCTCATGCAGGATGAATGTTATTTTCTCCTATGCATTCTCTATAAAGAATGCAGGTTTAAAGAAGGAAAAAAATGTTAATGCAGTGTGAAATTTGCCTTATCTAAGTACAATTTAGTTGAATATAACATTGGTCTTTGACAAGCGCATTAGGATTTTTTCTCAAAGCAATGAAAATGCAAGAATTTAGAGCTTGTGCATTGAAGAAACCCCAGTTTTAAGTGTTATTTCTGCAGTTGATCGCGGTTTTGAGAAAGCTGTTGTGAGTGTAAGGCCTGGGAACCGCCTTTAAGTAAAGAAAAAAATGGGTTTTTTCACCTCTTCACCTTTTGTTTAGTGTTTGGTTGGTATCATGTCAAGGGAAAAATAATTTTTTCAAATCAATTGTCTTTTTTTTTTCTTCTTTTCCAGTTTAAAGTGATATGATAAGGTCATACCTGTGTCGATTATGTATAATATTAGATTTTACAGTTCTTGGCTCTTACAGTGCCCTTCCCGCATCCACAGGCGATACAAACATTATTCAACTCATAGCAGATTTTCCATGACACATTTTGTGAATAGAGGTGGGTCTCACATGTTTGCATTGTCAGTTAAACCATAGGTCAAGACTTGCCATGAAAATAGGCCCCTCTGGCAGTCATTGGTGTTTCAATGCTGTACATTTATGTGAAATATTTAAATGTTTAATCTCAGACTGAGGTTTAGTGTAATGTCATCCTGTGGGGGACCAGTATTTGAAATGGTTTTTACAAATGTTTGCTCAGGATTGGAACATCTTGAACATGGCTTAATTCTTTGAATGGAGACTTTTCTTTTCTTCAAGTCTTGAAATCCGTCTGATTTCAGGAGAGTAAGAGCATCATCAGTTTGAAATTTGAAGCCATAGGAAAATAAAACTTAATTAAGTCATCACTCCTTTTGGGTTTCTTTCAAGTCTGCCTATTTTTTAATTTTTTTTTGCTCCAGATTGTGCCACTGCACTTCTGATCGATGCAAACAGGCACAAAATTTGATGTCTTGTAGACATGATAGGAATTAGATTAGCACAATTTAAAAAAAATATTTTTTCATTGTGCTTGTTCCAGCAAACTCTCTCTGCCTGTTCACTCTGCCTTCAGTCTTTGTGTTGTTTTGTGATACTGCTAGTCAGTGGGAAGGTATCCAGATGAGGACTGGGTGCCTTGTGAACAGTGTATGTTAAAACTGTTAATTTTGTTTGCCATCGGATGAATTTTGCCATGCTTAATTAATTAACCTTTGAGGAGACTCCTACGGCTTGTTTGTAGGTGCCATTTTTGTACTTGTATAAAGTATGATACTTTGTATTTAGTTATATTATGCATGCATACACTCCCACAAGCATACACACAGACACACACAAATATATACACTGATATCAGTTTATAATTGTGTGCCAGTTTCTATTACAGATTTGAGTAGGAGTGTGTTAATAATGAGACATAAGGTTGTGATGACGTGTAACATACACGTGCGACATAGTGTGTTGTGGAGAGAAACATCATTTTGCTATTTTCATTTTGCTATATTTTTTAGAGCTAAAGAATTTTTTTTCATATTTTTTTACGCTGTTGTTATGTGCTGTGTTATCGTTTCATTTTGTAAGATAGAATAATGGGTTTGTAAGTTTATTTTAACTTGTTGTGGAATCTTTTTTTCTTCTTACTTTGGTGGGCTTCATCCTAGAACGCTGATAGAAGAAAAGATTATTTTAGATAATATTTGTGTGTGACTGAATTGTCTTTAGTTTTCAAAGTCTTTTATAAATTGCAAGATTGCCAACGAGTAATACGTGCTAATAAAGTATTTAAGGTTCGCTCTGTTTCTTATTTAATGATTTATGAATGTGTATTACACAAGACAATAAGTAATATCATTTATTATATATAACTCTAAAACTGGTTTTCCTACCACTGTGAAGATACAATATATTGTTTTGTTACATGATTGTATCCTTTCAGAAATTCTATAAATAGTAACATTATTATTAGTCATTAGTTACTCTCCAAAAAAGAGGTTATGTTTCAAGTATCGATGATGGGTCTCTTTCACTATTTGATTTTTAGCAATTTAAATAGGGGCATTCTGTTTTGTGTCCATTAGAACATAACTTTTGAGTATGTGTTTGTGTGTGATCATAAGGAAAATCATTTTTTACCCTCGCCACTCCCATGAAAAGATGTGAAGATTTTGATTAATTTCCACAAAAAGAACAACTTTGGAGGATGCAAGTACTGGGAAGTCATCATTTGCTTCAGATCTGTGATATGATTATGTATGTCCCTTGTTTAGTATGAAAGAAAATGGAATGGAGGATGGTTGCTTGTTTGCATAAATGGTATTTTCCCTTGTATCCCTGCTTTGTAAAAGAACAGGGAAGCGGGTTGATAAAACACATATGGTCGCTTTTAAGCACAAGGGGGCTGTCCAGAAAAATGCTGTTTTGAGAAAATCGAAGGTAAAGTTTTTGCCCCTTGTTCTGTTTCTTTAAAAGACAAGGAGAGTTTTCTCTATAACCAAACAAATATAAACACCAATGAAACCAAACTTTTCCTATAGGTAGGGCAATGCCCACTTTTGGTGTACATCAAGATTTCTGGAAACCCCCGAAATCTGGGTTAGCCCGCTTGTCCTTAATAGCAACCATATTTCATGTTATATATATATATGTGTGTATGTGTACTTGAGAGGTGTGAGTCCGAAAGGAGAAAACAGTAGCAGTGTAGTCTCTCCTCAGCCTGTCAAGATTTTATGACATGAGATTTATGAGGCCTTTACTTCTCTGTCTTCCTACTCTCTCGCTTTGTCTCTTGTTTTCAATTTTGTTCAGACTTTAAAAGATTTTACAGAACTCTCCAGTATTTGCTCATCGCTAAGGCATATCTACTTGGTCTCATATTGTCCCATTGTTGGAACAAAACTTTTTTTTTTCCTCCTATGTTCATTGAACTTAATGCTTCTTGTATTGGATGCATCTCTGATTCTTTTGTTTTTATGAAGCCTCTGATGATGAAAAGATGTTCCCTCTTTTGACTGTTTGATTTCAGTTTCAAACAATAATAGCTATATTATATTATACATTACATTACCATTGTTGTTTACTGATTGTGGGCTTTCTATGTTTTTATTGGTTATGGCATGTGAAAGTGAAAGATCTTTGTTTGTGAGAACAGACCTACTATTTTTTGCAATGAGATGGTACTGGTAATTGTGAGTTTGTTCTTGTGGGGGTTTTATATTGCTTCTTTGTGAGCTATTTTTCAGTCTGCGGAAACGACATCAAAGTTTTTGGAGATGATGCTGGCCAATGTAAATAGTCTATGTCATCCCAGTTTCCTACATCTTGGAGAAATTGCAAATATTGTGGGTGTCATTTGCCGTGAGGTAAATTTAGCACAAAGGCATGTTTGCATACGCCATGACATTTGTTCCACTTTTTCGCCTTTAAGTAAGAGATGTGCTGTTCATGTGGCCACTCCGATGCATTTTTCTTTTTCTGTGTCTAGTTTTTTTTGTTCTGTACTAAACTGTCTGGTACTGTAAATACCAACAGATTCCACTGGGCATTTTCTCTTGTTGCTGGTGATTGTGAACCATTTCCATCGAACCTTTTGCTTTTGTGTGTTTTTATTTGTACTGCCTTCTGCTTGTTATTCATTTGTGAGTATGTTTCCTTTTAAATTTTCGTTCAGTTTTTATGAAAAAGGAAACAAAATACTTACAATGTGTACAGTTGTTCAAGCTACTCTTGTGATGAATAAATGTGTCGTTACCGGGCAAAATTAGCTATTATTTGGCAAAAAGTAAATCTGGAGAGAGAACACTGCTTCAA